AGCCTGTTCTTCTCTATGGGAGTACGCGGCCGTACACTCCCCCAAGCCTGTTCTTCTCTATGGGAGTACGCGGCCGTACACTCACCCAAGCCTGTTCTTCTCTATGGGAGTACGCGGCCGCCGTACGCTCACCTGAACTGCACATCCATGCGGGTGTCTGTGCTCGTACACAGACAGGATCCATCCTGTCTGTGTCCGAGTATGGACACCCGCACGCACACGGATGTGAAGCTTGGGTGAGTGTACGGCCACATACTCCCATAGAGAAGAACAGGCTTGGGTGAGTGTACGGCCGCGTACTCCCATAGAGAAGAACAGGCTTGGGTGAGTGTACGGCCACGTACTCCCATAGAGAAGAACAGGCTTGGGTGAGTGTACGGCCGCGTACTCCCATAGAGAAGAACAGGCTTGGGTGAGTGTACGGCCACGTACTCCCATAGAGAAGAACAGGCTGCTGGGTACAATCACACGCAGCACCTGTCCTTCCCGGGAAGGCCCGATACGGCGGTGCACGCCACACGGAGCTGTAAGGGCCGGCTCTTAGCTGTGTGAATGAGGCCTTACAGTGGGGCTACCCCCCGCACTGCAATGGTTAAGTTCTCATTTTGTCTAGGTTCAAAAATAACAAAGATTTACTCACCCGATCCTCCAAGCTGGTTTGCTCTTAGACTGCAGCTTCTCCTTCACTGTTAGAATGATGGTATGTCCCTCAGCGTCCTCACGTCCTATACACAGAGTATAGAACATGATGACTCACAGGACCTTAGACCATTGGAGTGGAGTGGCAGGAAGGCAGAAGGGACCGATTTAGGATCAAGCCGGCTTTCAGGATCGGGTGAGTATAACTTTCTTATTTTCGAACCTGGACAAAAATTAGCTCTTACCCCTTGCACTACGGAGTAGCCCCCCTTCAAGGGGACTGAGAAAAAGTTTCCCCCGGAGTTGTGCTTTAAAGTGGGCCTATCATCAGATCTATTTCTCCACACTCCTCCCCAAAGGCAATTGATTGACAGCAGCTCTTTAGAATCTATGGGGGGAATTTACTACTGTGTATTCGAGATCTGTGCAGTAATCCAGTGTGACACTTGGAGCTTCCTGTAATAAAGACCGCTCACTGCTGTTCTCTCCCTGTGCAGTGTGACTGGTCTTGTCTCCGCCTCCTCCTCTAATAAAGACCGCTCACTACTGCTCTCTCTCTTCTTATGCAGGGTGACTTGGTCTTGTCTCCGCCCCCTCCTGTAATAAAGACCAGTCACTGCTGCTCTCTCTCCTTGTACAGGGTGACTGGTCTTGTCTCGGCCTCCTCCTGTAATAAAGACCGCTCACTGCTGCTCTCCTTGTGCAGGGTGACTGGTCTTGTCTCGGCCTCCTCCTGTAATAAAGACCGCTCACTGCTGCTCTCTCTCTTCTTATGCACGGGAACTGGTCTTGGCTCCACCCCTCCTGTCATACAGACCGATCACTGCTGCTCTCTTCTTGTGCAGGGTGACTGGTCTTGTCTCCGCCCCCTCCTGTAGTGGGTGGGACTTGCTGGGTCCCTCCCACAGCTCTGCACAGGCTATGTGCAGCACCGTAATGATGTCACATCTACCTTTGCAAGCCCATATCTGGATTTGCACAGGCATTTGGTGCACACAAATTGGATTGATACCTCAGTGCCTATATATGTATATAATTCAATGTAAGTTTTTTTTATTTTACCCTGGAATTTTTTTTAAGTTGAATTTGTATGTATGTACATTGCTTCAAGAACTCCGTGTCCTTCAGATCTCGCCCAAACAACCCTCTGACACATTCATCATTATTGTCCGGCTTTGAAGTGGTGATTTTCTTTTTAAAAAATGAGCGGCGGTTTATTTTTAATTCATATTTAAGTGGCAGAACGTGAGATGTTTCGGCTCCTCGCAGTGTGTAATAGCGGGGCTCGTTAGCGGGTAATGACTTGCTTGATCGTTAGGAATGAGAAGTTTTGGATCATTAACGCTTACACTGGAATTATTGCCAGATATAAACCGGACCCATATTAACGAATAATAAACTAGCCAAATCGTGAGGGCTCGTGGACAAACTTCCTAATAGCCCCCTAAATCCGCCGGGACACTTTACACGCCCATTTGTTACCTCTCTTTTCTTCGTGTTTCAGAAAGCGGACGACCGGGAGAAGCGGCAAGAAGCCCATCGCTTCCATTTCGACGCCATGTGAGGCCTCGGAAATGACTTCCCTCTGCGAACAAATGCGGTTTTCCTGGGAAGAGGTGAACTCTTTTCACTCACTGATGGAGGCACAGTTCAGCGATTTACAACCCTCCACTCATTAACTTCTATAGGATAGCTGAGGGCTGTGTGACTTCTGAGCCCTTTTCCTTTCCCATGATCCTTTTTGTTAGGGCAGACTATGAATTAGAGCAGTAATGTCCGCACCTTCATTGATGCCCATCTCAGCTGTAGAGGTTTTAGATAACGGCTCAGATTTTGATTATACCTCAGCTTCCCCATAGATGGTAAACTGAATTTATTCCCCCTTTCCCTCGTCCTGCTCCCTTACAGTAATACCTTTGCTCTGGAACTCCAGTGCATGTAGTCACCTAACCAGTTGGCTAGGCATTGGTCACGTCATGGCTTAGAGGACCAAACATTGGGCAGTTGGCAATTCTGCTTGAACTCCGTTTCAGCTATGATCACATGACCAATGCCTAGGACTTTGATTATGTTGTCACCCTCCCGTAAGAAGTTGGGAGGGGGCAAGTATAGATTACAGGTCTGTTTTAGTTGTGTATTACTATAGTAAGGGGTCAGGAAGCTGGAGAGTATTTTTGGTATAGGTTCAGTCCCAAGCTAAGCCCTTTTCCATATTGTAGGCACAAAAAGGTGTCGGATAATACGGCTGCCTTTGATCCTTAATTTATGCAGTGCTGCCAGAGCGTTTAGAGACCTAGTGCCCAACCTGTGGCCCAATGGCCACATGAAGCCCTGTGGTATGTGAAATGCGGGCCTAAGGCCCAGCAGGCACTAGTAGAAGCATTGCCTTTAATAATAGTGATCTCTGGCAGTTTCATGTAGCATGTACCTAGTCTCTGATTGTGTCCTACAGCATGGCCAGTCTCCAACCACTCCTGGAGAATGGTCTTTGACCATTTCCTGCAGTAAGTCTTCAGTCTATGACCGTCTTCTCATACTTCCAGAGTATGAGAATGTTTACATTTTGGATGACTGATATGAACATTGACCCTCCATATCCATAAGTGCTAGACTTGGAACCTTGAAGCCCCCCATAATCCACTCCGAGCTTGCCACCAGGCTTTCTCTGAGACTAGAATTGTGCTGTAATATGTTGAGAGCTGTAAGTCACTGAACTGCCCCCTCTTCCGGCATGTGAAAAGGACCTCTTTCCTGGAAAACCTCTTCAATTTTATAGCATGACCCGGCAACCAAGCGGCAAGATTGCCAAAGAAGACATCAAGACGGCCGGACGGCAACGTCCAAGAAGAATCATTTTGCAGATTTTGCATCAGACTTTTTATTTATTTATCGCTAATTAAAATGAAGATATTGTACCCTAATGTATCGCCCTTCCGGCCCAGGCACAGGGGCGCGGATACTCTTATTTATTAACAAAGGGGTCGCTTTAGTTTGTTTTAGGGGTGTAAATTGTTCTTTGGGTTCTAATCTTTGAATGTCCAGGAAGCATTATGAGCGTGATTGATCGCTAACTATTTGTGACGTCTTTTACCTTCTTATTGATTTTGCATGTTTGCACAAAATTGATGGAAAACTGGAAGGTTTAAGGGACTTTTTTTTTTATTTTTAACAATGTTAGATGTGACAAAATGATGACAATGTACTATGTTAAGTTAATTGGTAAGTGAACGTTAATGGCCATTGGTAAGACGGAGAGCTGTGGGGTAAAAAGCAGAGTCTCACAGCAGCCAATCACAGGTTGCATCCGGTTGCTCCGAAGGTAAGTTCTGATTTGGTTTATGTGTTTGTGGCCTTTGCACTGCCGGGGGAAATAAACCAACGCCAAGATCAATACTAAACAATACCGCATAGCAATAGGCATTTGAAATTGACGGATCTGATTGAAAAAATACCACCAGGAAGGCGAGCAATAAAATTTAAGTGACCCTGTTATGTTCAGTAAATAAATAAATGGAGCTCTAAGGTCTCTACATCTCACCTCTTCCGCGACCGGTGCTACCTACCTCCCCCCTCCATTACTGGGCTTCAGTGTCCCCCACCACACGAGGTGGTTCATTCCCATGACCACTGCAGGACTCAGCAGTGATATGGGAAGATGAAGGATGGAGCCACAACACACAGTGGGGGGTACACAGGCATCTGACACACTCGGAGATCTTCAATGTTGAATATACTAGCCTAGGCTGTAGTGCTGGAATGAAGGAGAGGTAGGAGACACAGGCCCCTAGAGGGAAGACTGTACTACCTTTGGGGACTGTTCAGCTCCATTTTTAAAGAACCTCACAGGGTCACTTTAAAGCGGGCTTATATTCAACGTCCGCATACCAGATTTACTGGGATTAAATAAAGGAGCAGCTAGTAGCCTAGAATGTCCGGAGAAACTGCTGCAATAGAATTCCTTCAGTTTTGGACACATGGCTGAAAGCTTCACCACTTGGTCACATGATTTGGTCCTTCCCTTCCATAACCAAATGCCTGTTCCTTTGAAGTAATGGCCAGCACTGAAGACAGTCTGCAGCAGCATTTTCTCCAGAAGAGGCAAGTACGTCCGCTCTTCTATTCACTATTTTTCTATCCCTGCAAACGTATTAATACAGCTGTGTGTTACCATTGGAATATAGATACGCCTTAGCGTTACGAAATACAAAATGGAGGACTTAATGATGGTTTCCTTCAGGTATGGTTATCCTCTGTTGGTATGCCAATGGAATGGCAGTCATCCATTGTGATATAGTTATCAACTTTTCAGCTTGGAAAAAAATAAGTCAAGGCAGCTGGACTTTCTGTATTTTTCTTGAAGACATTTCACTGAAGACATTTGAAGAAAAATACAGCAAGTCCAGTTGCCTTGACTTATTTTTTTCCAGATATAACGTGACCTGGCTGAATAAGAACCTTCACTGACCTCTTCAGCTTGGGATTTCCCTGATGACAAGTTATAGACGGCTCATTCAGTAAAGCAGTGCAAAGGACACTAATACTGTACGAGGGGGAGTAACACATAGCGACCAATAAGATGTCAGGTTACTGCAGCAAGTTCCATGATGATTTCTGATTGGCTGCTGCTTATTCTCATTGCTCTCCGGTCCTACTTGCTACCAATCCTGTAAATCTCGCAGAACTGACAAGCTTCTCACTCGAAGCTATTGGCTGTCTTCACCGTGACTGTTAAAAAATGAATCTCGTTAATGTCCTATTATTAATAGGCAGTATTGTTTTCCTTATATAATGAAGTATTGCCAAACTGATTTGTAAATGAAGTAATGGTGCGGGTTTTTTTTGTAAATAAAAGGGTCTTGTGTAAAAACGAACGCACACCAATGGATTCTATAAGAGATGCAATTCGTCAGCATCTGCAAACACTCAAATATCGTGTTTGAGTGGACTAACCCTTAAAGTAGATCTAAAGCCAAGAGTAGGGAGGAATAAGTACCTTGGCCAACTGTGTCCCATTGGGGAGATATACAGATGTATCTTGCTGCACTCCTTACCGGACGATGTTGGTAACCTGTGGAGTCCAGGTGGGTGCTCGTAGTGACCACGGACGGCACCGTGAAGTATACAATTATATTGTCATCAGTACACCATTGGTTAAGTGAGATTAGTCCATTTTATGACAAAACAATGCCATCCAAATGCATGCGCTTTCGGGGCCGCACAGGGTCCCCTTCATCAGACTCAGAATGACCTAATTGGGGAGATTCCTCTTCCCTTCCAGTTCTGTAGACACATCAGGAAGTGCAAGATATATTTCTTAGATAGTTTTCACCACAAGTGTTGCTATTAGGATATTTCTACTTTATTTCTGCTGTAGTGGCAACTCAAAATCTGGGATCTTCCCATCACCGGTCAACAGAACAAATATAGAGGGTGAATTTCCCCGGGGGAGACACAGACTGTAATAAAAGTCAGAGTGAGATCTAGCCCTTCCCTACTGCAAAAAATGTTGGCTTTAGATTCACTTTAAAGTTCAATGTGTATGTAATTCATGATACTTAAAGGGAGCTTCCCTTCACACTCTAAACTGGCTATCTGTGGACTGGAGAAAGGGGAGGTTGCTTGTAAATTATACTTGCTGCATGTGGCCAGACGTCCCATCTAGGGCCTAATGCGAATTTCCTCCTTGGCCTGCACTTTGCTCTGACCCAGACTACACTGAAATCTCCAATTTCCATAGCAGGTGGCGGGTCTGGGAAGCCATTGGCACAGGGACTGTCCTAGTACTGATGAGAGGGACCAGTGGTTCCAAAGACAAGTGTAATTTATTCTTTACACTCCCCTTGTGCTGCTCATCCAATCTCCGCCCTTCATTTTGCTTTACCTTTTTGAGTGTTCTCAACTATTTCTGATGTACACTGGGCTCCTTTATCATCTACGTATGAAACGGTTATTTCAGTTTTGTGGGGCCATTGGTGTGTTGATTAACCTGCCACTTCCAATATGTCTTGGAGAGTCCAGTGGGGAGATCCTTCCCAGTAGATGGTGTCACTGCCCCTCCCACAAGGCCAAAAGAAAGGCGTCGCTCTCCCACAGCTTTCAATTCCTCAGTGTAAATAGAGATACCAACCAGTATAAGGCCCCTTTCATAGCGGGGCGGTTCGGCCGAACGGATCCGCCGACATGAACAATCCCATACATCGCTATGGGGACCGTTCATGCGACCGCGCGGCACAGCACAATCCAAACTGCCCCCCTGCTCCCTGCATTTTTTTTTTACCGCGCTGGTCAGTGCGATTTCCATACAGCTTTCAATGGAACCGCGCTGATCAGTGCGGTTTTGTGTGTTTTTAATTGCGTTTCAGCGCTGAAACGCAATTAATTCTGCAGGTTCTGGTTGCTTTGCCAAGCCACAGAAAAACACTGTTATTAAAACCGACAATTTATAAGTGACACAGAGTGGGATTACGTGACAAATTATCCATTATGCTGCATTGACCATAGGTGATGAGAAGCCCTGCACCACCTACCACGTGGAGCACCCATCATTTTCAATGATACATCACACAAACTGCAGCATTTCTGTCAAATGTCACAAATAGAGATTTTCCTATTTCCTTATCGGGACTATTGACCACATTAGGAGGATCATTGAAACACATCTTGA